TGCCTGGGATACCAGTAGCTCCCATTCTTGCAAGATCCAGGGTGAGAGCGTAGTGGAGGTTCATATACTGGAGTCCAGTATTTAGTAGTCACAAGTCAAGCTAACAACGCTGTTGAATGAAACATACCTTGTCCTCCTGGCCTGGGAAATAGCTTTCGCGACCTGGAAGGCCAGTTGGAATCAGGACTTCTCTGGCCCCCGGGGGTTTGGTTCCAGAATGTGCTGGTCAGGGCAAAGCTGGGCAGTGTCCTCTAAGGGGCAGCGCCCCCTTACCTCAGTCTGGGAGCTGTATCAGGTGAGGGAGGAACCAGGACGGCTGCTAGATTTTTGGTTTGACCCAAACTCACAGTCCTTTGCGAAGCCTTTTTGGTGAGGGGGTCATGCTCCCTGGCCCCAGGACTGAGTTCCTGGCCTCTTCATCTTATCCCTCAAGACTGTGCCTGTGGGGTTTGATGAAGACAGACCTTGGCCACTGACTCTGGGCCTTCACCACTCCTTCGGCCCCTTTGAGCCTCAGTGTGCTCAGCTGTGGATGGGGATGACGGGTACCTTCTACCCACGTTCCTACCCCTTGAGAGAGAGAATGCAGCTGGAGTGCGCATTGTAGGGGTAGCTGGGCATCTGCCAAAGCCCTTCCCTTTCCTTCTGGTACCTGGCCCTTGTTCCTCAGTGTCGCTCCCGGCTGCTGTTAGATGTGGCCTTGTGACTGCCCTGCCAGGGGAACTGCAGGCAGGTCATGTCATGACTTCTAAGCCCGACCACTTAAAACCTCTGCCATGCGCTGCTTCTCCCCCCTCTCCTGTCCGCTGGCTGGATGTGAGGATCAGCAGCCAGAGTTGGCAAACTATGTCCCATGAGCTGGGTCCTGCCTGTCACCTCTATCTGTACCTAAAGTTTTATTAAAACAGCCACACCATTTGTTTATAAATTGTCTTTGCTGCACTTGCATTGTAAGGGCTGTGTGACCCACCTCGCCAAAAATATTTACCATCTGGCCCTTTGTAGAAAAGTTTACCCTGGAGAATGGCAGAGCACAGATAGGGGAGCCAGGCTCCCGTGTGAGTGTGCGGAAGGCTGCGTGGCTGTGGGAGTCTCCATGTTGACCCCTCACAAGCAAGAACAGGATCTCAGAGGCTCAACTTCTGGTGTGTTTGTCATAGCAATTAATATTACTTCCCCTAACTAGTCCAAGCCTGGCACATGGTAAGCATGCAAACGATAGCTTCCTCCTTTTCACACTCTGTATATTATTGCTGTAGTAGTCAGCTTTCTATTCCTGTGAGAAATACCCAAGATCATCAACTTATAAAGCACAAAGGTTTATTTCGGTGTGGTTTTGGAGCCCTGGGCCTGTGGTGAGGCAGCAGATCATGGCCGGAGCTCATGGCAGAGGAAGTCCTCGCCTCATGGCAGCCAGGAAGCAAACAGAGCTAAGGGGCTGCATTCCCATCCTGCCCCTTGAGGGCACATGCGCAGTGGTCTGAGACCGCCCCCTTTTTGACGCTCTACCACCTCCCGAGAGCGTGGAGCTGAGGAGCAAGCCTCTTAATCCTGGGCACCCCGAGGACGGACCAGATCCGGCCCGAGCAGCTGCATTTGTGTTGCCTCTGGGGGACGAGCGCCACTGCTCTGCTGTCACACGGCCCGCCGGAAGTGTAACAAAGCCCCAGTAATAAATTAGAGAGACAAAGTGTAACGAAAGGATGCACTATTTGTAAAGAGGAAAAGGAGGGAGAAAGAGAAGAAAGATAGCAACCCTGATAAGAAAGAATCAGGGTAGGGGCCCCGGGAAGATGGAGGACCCGGGGGCCCTTTGTTCTCAGCTGTTCTTAAAGGCGCGATGACCCAACCTCCCATAACCTTGGCTTCCGGGCCGCTGCCAAACGCCATTCCTCCCCGTGGTCTGTTTACTTGTCCCCTGGCTCCCTCTTCAGGCCTTATCTTTGGGATGGGCGGCAGGTGGCAAGGTGCCTTACCATGGTGAGCTTAGAGTTAGCAAGGAGCGTCTGGCTGCTTATTGTGGCCGGTATGACCCTAGAGTGAGTGACACAGGGACTGGAGTGAGCACGCACGGCCTCGCTCCCCTGTATCTTATTGGAGGTGGGGCGGCTTATCATCTGCTCCTGCTGTCAGCTCTTCCTGGTCTCTTGGTGCAAGTCCCGAGGGCATTTGTGCTTCTCGACTGCTTTTTCCCTTTTTCTCTTTCTACCCCGTCTTTGGCTTGCTTCCCGGAGGAATCTCTATAGTAAAGTTTGTATTTAACTCCCTCTAGTCAGGCTTAGCTAGGAGACCTGAGGAGGCCCCTGTTTTATTTCCTCGTCTACAGACCTCAGCCCTACATTTGGATCGGCTCAGAGCAATGAGCTGGGCTTGCCTTAGCTTCCTCTCACGTCCAAGCCGCGGCACCGTCTGTTCCTTCTGCCAAGAGCAATCTTTCCCCTTTCTTCACCTCGAGGTCCGTTTTTGCCCCCCCCTGGCCTGCAGGGTGTGCTCTGCAGACAGAGGGCGCTGGGGAGCACCAGGAGCTGGAAGGGGAGCCCGGCTGCCCAGTCCTGGAGGGAGGCCTTTGTTGCAGCTCCCTGCTCTTTGTCTGGCAGCAGTGGAGAATAGTGAGGATGATCAGCGTTATTGTGCCTTGAGGGCACTGAGAACTGGGCATAAGCCACAGACATCCTATGCTGCTCTGCTTCCTTTTTTCCACTGACGTTAGATGCCCAAGGTGCAAACGTGCTTAAGAAAGGGGGGACTCACGCTCACCCTTGTCCCCCATCACTTATTAGTGGCCCTCCCGAATGCCATAGTCATCCACATTCTCTGCCCAGGTGTTCTGAGCACAGTGGCATCTTGTAAAACGAACGAACTCACCCGGCACCCAGCACCCTGCAGGACCTTGCCCTGCTGCCTGCCGTGTCCCCTGCGGGATCCAGCCTGCAGCTCCCTGGTGGCATCCCGCGGTCACAGGAGAACCTGCCCTCTCGCCTTGCTGTCGTGACCTTTCCATGCCTGACTTTGACCCCCTTGACCTTGGGCTTTGGTGCTTCCCAGTGCGACACGGCAATGTTCTGTGGTTGCTGTTGTCTGCTAGGTGGTTTGGGGGCCTCGACTGAAGGTCGCTTGGCTAAAAGCAAGAGATAGGAAAATCTGCTTCCCGTGGCCAAGATCACCTGAGGCTTTTGGGAGGCGGCAGTCTTCTGGGGACTGGAAGGGGATTCTGAGGAAGAGGATCTGTCTTGCCCTGGCCCCAGACAGGGAGGGGTGGCCAGGCCTGGGTCCAGCTGTGCTCCAAAGGCTGGGGACGGGTTTCAGTCCATTCTAGGAGGCTGTGATCTCCATGCTTTGTTGTGCTCCGATCGACTCTGTCACCTCCTAGCTGTGTGAATGTGGACACCTGGGTAGGCATTTTGTGCCTCAGTTTCCCCATCTATAAGACAGAGATGCTCATATCATCTGCTCCTGCTTTTTCTGAAGGTTTCATGAGGTCATCCGCCTAAAACCAACCCAGAGTATTTGCTCTGCTCACAGTCTTGGTAATCAGGACAGTATTAACACGGACACGAATGCTACTAATTCTGAGAGTATCAGCAGCCTCAGGGGCTGAGGATTCCATTCTCGTGAGACCTAGAGGAGTGGACAGCTGCTATGCCCACTGCTTCTGTGGCTCTCAAATTCAGGCAGCTGCTTTCTTCAAAGGGCTTAAGAGAGGCAGCAGGAAGGCTTGGGTCCAAATCCTGCTGCTTCCTTGTTGTGTGACCTTGGACAGCCCCTTAACCTGTGCCTTGTGAGTTGTAAAATGGGGTCAATCATAGTGACTAAGTACTTGGCACAAGGTTAGCATGCAAGAAGTGTTTTCTTTTGTCATTACTAATTTATCAGTCAATTAAACATGCGCATTGGGATGGATCCAGTGGACTCTCAGTGGGTTCAGACTTGTTGGGCTGTGCCGGGAGCAGCAAGAAGCCTGGCAGGAGCAGTGCCAGACACAGGAGGCATCCAGGGTACAGGATTACGGGAGTCCTCACTCTCAGGAGCAGCCCTACAGTCTCAGGGACCTGGGAGTGTGGGCCCCTGAAAGTTTTCTTCCTGGCGGCTCCTTTGTCTCCCCCTAGTCCCCTCACCCCCGTGAGGGGCCAGGCCTGTCCACCCAGGGGTCACATGCAGACTGCTGAGCTTCACCCTAAGACCCAGAAGCAGCTACCAACAGGAGTGAAAACCAACCCTTAACCCTAAGCCCCCTCCTCAGCCCTCCGCTTTCCACCCTTGGAGCCCCATGAGACCAGGCCCTCAGAGATGGGGTGGGGGAGGCACCCACAGCTGGACCCAGGCCTGGCCACCCTCCCTGTCTGGGGCCAGGGAAGACAGATCCTCTTCCTCAGAATCTCCTTCCACTCCCTGGTGGGCTGGGGAGCCCTGACTGGCATAGAGGCGTCTCGTGGAGATCTAGGGCAGAAGTGCCCCTTAGTCTTAAAGCTGTGAGTGGAAGTGCGTCAGCATGCTCCTTCTCTGCCTCCCTCCACCCAGTCCCCACACGTGCGTTCCGATTTTCTGAGACGCAGCTCCCAAGGTGACAAGTTCCAGCCGTCACAGAAATAGGCCCTGCCTCTTGGCCCAGCACAAGTTTGTGTGAAAAATGAAACTGGTGAGCCTATTTGTTCGTGCCAGGTCCAATCACTGCCCAGGAAGGAGAGTGACATGGTACACGTAGCCCTGCCTGGTCCCCTCCCTGGGGCAGTTGCCGGGGGAAGGAGAGGGGACTGTGAACTGGGCTGATGTCCCAGGAGTCTAGCTGGGCCAAAGACATTTTCTCCTTGAAGCCACAGAGGCCACTCAGAGCCCTGCCCTGTGGGACCCCAGCTTAGTCCAGGGTTAGAAGTGTAAGTGGAGACAGAGCTATCTCCCCAAATCCTGGGCCACACTGTGCCCGAGTAGCTCTGATACAAGACCACCGTAGCACAGGAATTTAAAGAACCCTGTTTTCCTCTTGTGTCCCCTCCCCACCACAGATCGACCCCCGGGTCTGAGACGGTGGAGGCCCTGGCCAGGTAGCAGCTGTTCCCAGGACTGAGGTGCGTTTGTGAGTAGATGGGAATATCCTGACTCACCCCTTCTGATGGGAATGTAGGACTCTTGGGGCCAGAAGTTCTTGTAAAAGTAACTTTGAGTCACTCTGCTAATCAGGGCCAGAGGCCTGGGGAAGTCCAGCACCTGCATATGCCACGTGGCAGACAGGGGTGGGAGGTGCCCCCCCGCCCTGCCCTGGCACCAGGACCCCAGCAGCTGGCCATGTTCCTTTATCCTCAGTAGAGCACTGGGTGCTACATATATACAGAAGCTGGTTTTGCAGAGGCAAAGGGAAATGTAACACATAAGAGAGGAACCCCTTGCTTTATAAATGAAGGGGCTTAGCCTGTAGAAGCTCGGAACACATCCCACGGGGATGTCTTGCTCTGTCCACATGCAAAGGCTGTGTGTATGCCAGCAGGGGATAAGCAGTTTTTCCTTCCCATCCAGTCCTGGAACCTGGGAACTTAATCTGGGAGTGAGAGGTGGCTGGGGATGGTTCCTCAGAGCAGTGCTCAAAGCCTTACCTTCTGGTCCAGTCTCCCCCTGCCCCTCCCTTCTCTGGGTCTCCAGGGACACCAGATGCTTGGTCCTGCCCCTGACGTTTTAATTGCTCTGATCCCTCTGCCTTTCCCTACATGCTTGTCTATATGCGATATTCACTCATTCCTCTAGACCCCTCTTCGGGCTTCCTCTCTGTGACCACCCAGCACCCACTTCCCCTCTCTGAGACCACAAGGGGGGTCGGTGTCAGCTGGGCACTCAGCCAATGCCTTCCCTAGCTCCCTCGAAGGGAGGGCAGTCATGTGACATAGGCACGACCAATGAGCTGTGAGCATGGCTCTCCTCTCCCAATGCTGGCCACGTAGGTGTGGTTCGTGCAAGAGTCTCCCCAAGGAAGTGGCTGCTTCCTGGAGGGGGACAGTTGTGGTTAGGGCCTGGGATTCTCAAACACTTGCTTCTTCCCCCAGCAGATGGGGAAGTTGTCAAGCTTAGGAATTAGACAGGCTGGGTTCAAATTTGGCTTCTGTACAACCTACTAAGTGACTTCAGACTGAGCCTCAGCATCCTCATTTTGAGATGGGACCAGTGCTGGCAGCGATTCCTCAGGTTATTGATTCCGTCGGATCAGCCTGTGAACTCCGTGAGGGCAGAGGTGTTCACCTCACTGCGACCTGGCCCCCAGCGGTAGGGCACACAGTAGATGCTTTGTGGATCTGTATGGTGTGAAGGAGTGTACAGGTTTTAAGAGAGTGATTGGTCCAAGAAATCTCAGCCAAAGGGCTGGTGTGTAGTTCAGTGGTCGAGCATTTGCCTAGCATATTCGAAGCCCGGGCTTCCATCCCCAGCACTACAAACAAAACAAAACAAAACAACAAAACACAAACAAACTTGCCTAAAAAAGGAGAGAAACACACAGCCAAGCAGAACCCAGGCTTAGGTTCCTGTGGGAAAAGTGGGGAGAGGGGAAGACAGGGTTAGCCTCCTCTGTCTCCCCATTGAGCAGATCAGCTTTTATCAAATTTGTGCCAGGGATTCACTCCTGAAGCTACGCATTATTCAAGACTAAATTTCCCAGAGGGATAAATGTAAAGCAAGATCTGTATTATTTCAAAATTGGAGTACATGGCAAGTCTTTATTAATATTTTCCAAATGCCTGATTTCCAAGTTGCATAATGCAAGTTTGCATAAAATGAGATATACCGTTTTGGGGTTCTGGACAAGGCTGGGGGGACAGAGAGGTTTCTAACCTTGAAAGATTCACATCCTAGTACTGGCCTCCCAGTGGGGGCTACAATCAAAGGTGAGGCTGAGCATAATCATTTGATATTAACAGTAGTTAAAGTACCAACGCTGAGGAATGATTCTCTTTAACAAAAATACTGCTGATTCAGAGTAATTCTAGGGAGCAACATGAATTATTGAAAAATTAATTGGTGTCTTTTTTCCTTTTTTTCTCACTGCTTTAGGCTTATTGGAAAGGGATGAAAGGCATCTTTTCTCCCATTTCCAGAGAACCTGGCTCCAAATGCAGAGATTTTCCAGCCCCAGTGTGCATAAGAATGAGCCAAGGAGCTGAAAATACCAACACCTGAGTCGAGTCCTGCCCCCAGACTCTAGGTGGATGCAGAATTCTGCATTTTTAACAGGAACTTTAGGAGGCTCTGATGTGGGTGGTAAGCACCTTGGGTGTTTGGGGTGCACTCTTTTGCAAAGGGCGCTTGCAGTGGCAGATGCTGGGGACACTTCCCATGTGAGGGCGCCTGTGCTCAGAGCTGGTTGTTGAACATACATGCTGTACTGTCCATTGTGTGGATTCACAGACAGCCTCCATGTGGTGCTTTAACTCTGTGATGGTGTTAGAGTGGTGTGCATTCGTAGGCTCACAATATCTAGTACCGTTTTCTCAAGATGCTTGGCAGGTGCAGCGAGCTGTAGCTCTCAGTCAGCCGTGCACTGTGTTGCTAAGCCAGGGTGTTCTGCAGGTTAAGTGTATTAGATGCACCTGCTACTTAGGATATTCCCAGGTTACTCTAGGTTGTTTCGGAGGCCACCCCATAGTAAACGAAGAAGCATTTGTACTAGGGTTTAGCCACTCTCCTATACACGGATACCTGGGTTGGCTCAAATATTCTGGTTTTTAATAAATCGTGCTTCTGTGTCTAACTGTCCTGAAAGGGAAAGGAAGAGGCTGTTGTGACAGCCACCAGGATGGAAATTGCACATTAGGACCACCCTACCCTTAGTCTCTGTGAGGGTTTCCATCCAGATGTCCCTGAAAAGCCTCATGTGCTCATAGGCGGGGCTTTGGGGAGGTGGCTGGATCATGGGCGTGTGACAAGTGCATTGGTTCACTGATTGGTTTATCATAGTTCTAGCTGTGGAAGATGGAAAGGCCCACCCTGGGTTTGGGTGGCGCCGACCAATGGACTTGTAGCCTGGATGGAATAAAAAGGGAAAGGAAGGCCTGCTGTTCGTTGCTTCCTGCTTGCCATGCCATGAACTGTGTCTTCTCTACCATGCCTCACTGCCTAAGGAGCAGTCCACTGTGGACTGGCACCTCTGCAAACTGAGAGCTAAAATAAGCCTTTCTTCCTTTAACTTGTTGGTGTGCTGTATTTTGTCCCAGCAACGAGAAAGTAACCAAGACATACTCTAAGTGGGGTCCCTTGGCTAGCTGGGTTAGCAGCACCCAGGAGCATCTTAAAGATGTAGATCCTCAGGTCCCTTTTCAGAACCACTGCTTTAGAGCTGCGTTTTGAAGACATCTCCAAGTGCTTCCCATGCTCTAATGAGTTTGAGCAATGCTTCCCTCCATAATTTTTCCTATACCACAGTCCAAGGTGGAGCTGGATGCAGGGAGTCTCATCCATCCTGAGTCTCAAAGGAGGAATATGTGCGAGACTCTTGGCTTTGGGTCGTTTAACCCAGGTGAGGAAAGGCAGCCTCTGGGGACACTAATGGAAAAAGAGAGTGTGTGTTCCCATGCTCAAGCAGAAGTAGAGCCACCACGAGGCTTTTCCAGGGAGAAACTTGCCAAGGAGCAGGAGGAGATCCCAGCTTACCTCTTACCACACCAGCCCTGGAAAGTCCAGGACTTCCAGGGGTGAGAATTGAGAGAGATGGGGACAGGATTTGTCGGATAGGGATGGGATGCTGATGGAGGTGAAGGTTGGAACTCTTTGTGTGTCTCAGTCATGACCCGGTGCTGTGACTCAGTATGGAGGTGGAGAGTGGAGGGGAAGGGAAGCAATGGCACCCCCTGGTGGCCACCCTGGTGAGTGAGGGAAGGATGCCCAGGCCAGGGTATGACAAGGGAAATAAGAATAGAGAATCATGGTTGCAAATGGGCTACAGATCTGGAGAGAGAAACACACACACGCACGCACGCACGCACGCACGCACGGATGCAAGCACGCATGCTCAGGTACTATATGTGATCCGTTCTTGAGCCAAGGCGGCCCAAAGGTGGGTCCCAGAGCAAGAGCAAATTCTGTTTGCTGACTTCCCCTAGCCCCCCGCAAGGGGTCCCCTTCCTGCACTTCTTTCCACACAGCTGAAGAAGGGCAGCATCTCACTGTGGCCTGGATGTTGCAGGCTGGGCAGGCAGCCAGGAAGAACTCACCTTCACAGTCTGGGGACTTCACAACTTTGGGCTCTGGGGATTCTGGAACCAGGTTCTCTGGCAGTAAGGCTGCATTCTCAACCAGGGGAGAAGATGGAGGAAGGACCCAGGTTCTCCCAAAGAGTGTCTGGATCCTGGGGCGTCCACCCCTCTGAGGGAATGTTTGTTGAGTCCTTATTGTGTGCCAACAACTGGCCTTACTTTATCTCTTGATTTAATCCTCACAATAGCCCTCTGCTGTGCGGTAAGCATTCAGTAAATACCAGCTGAATTCATGGATGAGCTCTTTGAATTGGGTCTTCTTATAAAGTTCCCACTGATCTGTTAGGGCTCCATCCCAAGATCCTAGTGGACACCTAAGACCATGGAATCAAGCTCTGTATATGTTTTCCCTACCTGCCCTGCAGGGTTGCCACATAGTGCCAGAGCTAATCTGTCCTTTTATGCCCTAGTGTCTCCTTTGCATCCCTCTCTTGTGCTTTGTGGCTATTATTAAGTACAATAAAGGTTATTAAGCACATGCACTATGATACCACAACCGTCGATCTGATACCTGAGCTAAGTGACTAACATGTGCGTAGCAAATATAGCGTGGATACACTGGGCAGAGGATGATTCATGTCCCGAGTGGCAACAGCATGGATTGGAATTAGATTTTATCATGGACCTAGAATAGTGTGTGACTTCAGACTTATGTACTGTTTATTTCTGTAATTTTCTCTTTAACGTTTTCAGGCCACAGTTGACCACAGGTAACTGAAACCATGGCAAGTGAACCACGGACAGAGTGACTGTCATATTCCTGTGCTTTCGCATCCCTCTGCCTCCCTGTTCACTGTGCCCTGGGTACACCAGTCTCCTTGCTATTCCTGGACCACTCCAGCTGAACTCCCTGCTCAGGGCCTTTGCACATTCCCTTTGCCTAGACATTCTTTATCCAGATCGCCTGTGGCTGGTTCCCTGCCTTCTTTCAGGTCTTCATTCCAGTCTCTTCTTCTCAGTGAGTCTGTCCCTGAATGCCTTATTTAAAATCCTTATTCCCTACTTTATTTTCTCCCAGCACTTAGTTTCTCCCTTTCTGTAGCCATCACCTCCTGATCTTGTCCATTCTCCAATACTAGGATAGATGCCTGTTCCTGCAGACAGGATTCCCATTGGCTGGCTTACTGCTGTACCCTGGGCACTTGGGCAGGCCTTGACTCACACAGCTGTTTGGCAAATATGTAGCAAATAAAGGAAAGAAGGAAGAAACTAAGGCTCAGAGCCGAGCTCAGAGACTTGGGCCAATCACTTGCCCAGAGTCATATGGCAAATAAATGGCCAGAGTGGGCTGAGTCCGAAGTCCGGGCTGACTCCAAGGTCTGTGGGGTAGAGGGACCTGGGGACCTTTTAGGTGGGTCCCACAACACGCTGCCTTTGACTGGAGGGCTTCATAGCTGACTTTTGCAACCCATCTGAGCAAGTGCAAAGAAGCCCCTGCCATTCCGTTCCTGCCGGGGAGTTGGCTCCAGGTAGCTCCTGGCAGCGGAAGATTCATTGGGAGAGGCCTGCCTGGTCCATCAGCTTTCTTCTCATTTGGTTTCAGGGGACAGGAGCTCTTTTCTGAGCCTGTTTGTGGGGACGCCTTCAAAGACAAGTCCCTGCTTAGCAACCTCATCTCACGCAGAACCTCAGGAGAGAGCTCTGGGCTTTGTCTGCACCAGGGCAGTTGTGTGGTTAATTGTGCCAGTGTGTCCATTAACTGCCATCACTGGGGAGTGAATTAACTTCTGCTTTTCTGGCTGTATTTTAAAGAGATTTTTAAATGCTTTTTTTAGGGGGGGGAGCCTATGCACTCTTCAGAAATTAAATTTAGACTGTGATTTTATTACCCTTTTTATTTAATTTATCCTAACAGTTGCATTCAAGCTGTGAACCAGCTGTTGACTTTGAAGAAACATTGTTCAATTTGAAGGGAACATTTAAAAACTTAATGTAACGGCTCTAAGTAATCACTACAGCAATTACACTCCCCAGCATCCGGCATCAGGAGGGACACGGTATGGATTTGGAACAATGCTCCTATGGGCAGAGGGACAGTGTGGACAGGAGGCGGAGGCTGTAAAGCTGGGGCAAAGGGGTGGGCTGCCCGCACACCTTGCTTCTCCCTCCAGCCTTGCTGGGGTTGGGCCACGCGGAGGAGAGTTTGCCAGAGGCCCAGGTTAAGCTGAGCACCCGGACCTGCCTGCTTCTTTGGGGTCACTTCACTTCATCAGAAGACTTTGCTGTTCTCTCTTCCCCTTGCCACAAAGAGGGCAGGAGAAGAGGTTCGAGGTGAGATGGAATTCAGGGGCTCAACTTGGATTCTTCCCTTTCTGCCTCTGCATCCCTTCATCCACTCATGTATGCCATCACACTGGTAGGTTGTAAGGAATAGGCCCAAATGCTCTCTATGCCTCTGTGCAGACTCTTGACAACACATCCGTCTGCTAAGAAGTGAAGTCTAGATTCCCAAATATCACATTTCAGCTTGGTTATGTGGTAGCCATGGGCACGTGGGGTGTTAGCAGACGCCACGTAGGCGGAGGCCAGAAAGTCCCTGCCTCTGCAGCTGGTCCTCGAGCTGCTGTCAGGCCTCAGTGTGAGGAAGCCCGAGTTAGCCTGCTGGAGGATGAGTGTGCACCTGGCCCAGCAGACATCCTGTGGAACCAACCTGCTCACCTGTTCATAAGCCACCCGAGAGCGTCTGTTCCCAGTGAACCTATGAGTCGTGAGCCAAGTACAGTGATGTGCTTTTCAGCCGGTGTGTTTTGGGGGGCTCACTGTGCAGTAAAAGTAAACAGTCAGCAAGTATTAGCCGGGTACCTGACATATGCCAGGCATTGCCCTTGGCTCTGGGGAGGTCAAGCCTGGGGGTGGGCATGAGGTCCGGGCCCTGTCTGTCAGGATTCCATCTCCCCGACCCAGCTTCCTGCTGGCTGGTCTGCTTCGGCCTAAGGGAGGCCACTCTTTCTTTCCTGCTTGCCTTGTAGCCCTGCGCGGTCTCAGGCCCCAGGTGCAGCTCCCCGCCTCTCCTTAGTATCACAGGCAGTGGGCCTGCTGGAGAGGAGTAAAGATTAAGGGCAGTAGACTAACAGGGAGTTCAAGTCCTACCTTTGCTGTCTACCGCCACTTACTGTCAGAGGCATGAGTAGCCGCTAGGGGTTGAAAAGTGTGCGCCCCTCCACCCGATTCACGTGGGAAGCCCCAGACCCCAGGGTGACAGTGTTTAAGGTAACTGGAGAGCTCATAAGAAGACGCCCAGGTGAGATGGTCCTTCCCCTCCGCCCTGTGCAGCCACAGGAAGAAGGTGGCCACCTGCAAACGACGGAGAGAGGCCTCTCCAGACACTGAAGCTGTTGGCTTCTTGCTCTCGGGCTGCCCCGCACCTGAAACCGAGGGAACTAAACGTCTGTGGTTGAAGCCACGCAGTCTGAGATGTGCACAGCAGCCCACGCAGACCAAGGCATGTGGCAGAGCTGGCCGGAAGGGATCCCATCCATCTCTGGGGGCGCAGGCCGAAGGCCATGACCTCCCCCGTCCCAACTCTCCCGTCTGTAGAACAGGGTGGTAACACCCATTATAGGACTTTTACAAGGATCAGAAGGGGTAGAGAGCACAAAGTCCTTACTTCAGAATCTGCCACACAGGAAACAGCTGTTCAGGGGGACTTCGTTTCGTTGTTACTGGCAGTGTGGTGTTGGGAAAGTTACCTGTGTCTCGATCTCTCCACCATGGAAACAGGCAGACATCAGGCCACCTGTTGCTCGGAACCACCTCAGGAGGGTAAATCTCAAGAAAGGATAAGTGTGTCTAAAACACTTAGCACTGGGCCTTTCACATGGGAGACGCCGTCACTGTAGTTTGCATCTATAGTGTCCCCAGAAGCCCACGTGTTGAAGCCTGGTCCCAGCCCATGGCACAATTGGGAGAGGGTATAACTTTAAGAGGTTGGGCTATGATGTCACTGGAGGTGGGGCTCTAGGGCCTTTTCCCTTTCCTCTTCTTTTTGCTTCAGGGTCCCACCTGAGCTGTTCTGCCCTGCCATGCATTCCCCCCCAGAATTTGCACCCTGGGTCAACTGGAGCCCAAAACAACCTTGTTCTCTTCATAAGTTGATTATAAATTAATTATTTCAGTTTTCTTTTTTGTACTTGGGCTCGAACCCTGCAGAGCTACATTCATAGCCCTTTTCTTTATCTTGAGACGAAGTCTCGTTGAGACACTAAGTTGCCCAGGCTGAGCTTTAATCTGCAATCTTCCTGTCTCATCCTCCACAGTGCAGTAATTACAGGCAGGCACTAACAAGTCCAGCTCCTTGCTTTTTGTTATTAACAGTCGAGGTGATTACGGTGAATGTTTCTGGGCTGAGGGTGGCTTTCTACTTCCCAGCAGTGAGCACGCTGAAGTTTCAGGCAGGCCGCCCTCTGTCCTGTCTGCACCTGTGTCTTCCCTGCAGGCTCAGTTGTGTTGCCAAACTGACTGAGGTAGGAGACTGCAGGGCATGGCAGTGTGGCTGGGCCAAATGGGCGTGGGCTGCCACTTGCAGGCACTTGTTCAACACAGGTGCAGAGCAGCACTCCCGAGCCCGGTGCCTGGTACCGACCTTCTGCATGAGAACAAGCCGAGGCCGGCACCCGGCGCCCATCTTCTAGCACAAGTTCAAGCAGGACAGCCTGGATCTAATGTCGGGAATAAGACATGAAAGAGGTCGACCATGGGCTTCGGTGCCACTGCCCCTCGCCCTTGCACGGCCCGTTCTGTTTGCAGAGTTAACTTCTCCTTTTTCCTTCAAAGCACCTTTTCTCCTTCAGCACTTCTTTTGTGCTTTTTTTCCCCCCTTTTCTTCTTATATTTGCCCTAAAGTAAGTGTCAATCTCTCCCAGTCCCCGCTTGTTCTGACCGACTCAGAGTGGGACAGTAAGAGTCTGGAAAGCCCTGCTGGCCTCCACAGCGCCTAGTGACAGCCATGCGGCCTCTGCACTTTCTCTTCCCCGTTTCAGAATGGCAGATAGTTTACAAATTCTGCACTTTCTCTGAGTGCGTAGCGGTGTTTGGAGCTGTGAACTAATGCCTGGCCCTTGCGGGCTGGTCAGGAGAAAGCATCCTAATTATTAACGACACTGGTGGTGCATTTGAGATAGGGGAGTAGAGGGTGTTCGCTGACCCGACAGCTGGCTCTGGGGGACTCCCGGGGTAGTGAGATCTCACAGGCCTGTGGATTCTGACCTTTGAGGTCTGTGCATCGTCTTTGCTTGTGAGAGCTCAGGGTGAAGCTTGGGGCGTTCAGCAGACCTAGTCATCTTCATGTCCTCAGCGCCTGTGAGGAGACTCAATCTTCAGATGGCCCAGACGGAGGAGCTTAGACTCTGTGGCCAGAGAGAGCCCGTGTTCCACCCAGGGCCGCTGTCCACCAGCTGTGTGACGCTGGTCGTCATCATGAGTGCTGTTTGCGTAGCACTCTGGCGGCCATCTTTGCGGAATTAGGAGGGCTGGGTAACATCATGGGACTCTGACTGCAATTGTGAGCAGAACTGGGGTCCTGCGGTGGCCTCTCTTTCCTTGTCCTATGATGACTAACAGAGCCTTCCCGATGCTGCTGCTCCCTCTGCTAGGAGCCCCTTCCCCTGTCTTATGAAGAGATCCCAGGGCAGACGCTAGGTAGAGGCCAGGGTGAGGCTGGAACAGTAGCAGGCCAAGCCCCCAGGTCCACAGTCCTGGGGGAAGCGGGAGGCAGGACTGGGCAGATGGGCGGTGGGCTCTATGGGAAGCTCTGAAGTCAGAGGTCTTTTAGTGATGCCCAATGTTGGGGCCGTAATTCGAACTTCTGTACCCTGCACCAACCACTCTCTGGTTCTGATCTGTCCTGGGAAGGGGGTGTGACCATGAGTGAGATGGAGGCCTTCGGTGGGAGCAGCTCCGGGAGATGGGGGACTAAGAGCCAAGGAGCCCCTGTAGCGGGGGTCAGTGGAGTCGCCAGAGCTGGCTGCTGTCAGCTCATGGCAGCTGATCCCTAAATGCTCAGGAATTTTTTGATCAGCTACGGAACACAGCTGTTATTAAATATTAAATGATATAGATTTATAGTCAAACACATTGGATTAGTAACAAATGCATCACTCCTTAATTGTTTCATCGCAGTTCTTAGCTGAGTTCTTGCACTTGTTAAATCCGTCCTCCCTGTAGGGGAAGCTCTGAGTTACCTGGGCTCCTGCACACTGCTTTCCAGCTGTGAGTGGTGTTTGCACCACCGAAGTAGGCAAGTATTATGCATCAGGACTTATTCATTATTTGGCTGATTGTGTAGACTTGAGAAAGTGATGGAGAGAAAAGAGATAACTGAAAATTGTCTTTTAGGTAGCTGATATGTTGCGAATAGCAACAACAACAAACCTTCCAGATTGGTGAGTCATATAATTGCAGGTATAAATGGCCTATGGATATGGGAATTTAATAAAAACTGATAAGCACTTCCGTGAGAATCATTTGGCTACATGGAATTTATAATAAAAGCATATTTTATTATTACTTATAAAGTGTGAACTACGCATTCTTTTTTTTGAGACAGGGTCTCACTATGTAGCAGGCTGGCCCTGAACTCACTATGTAGCCCTGGCTGGCCTTGAACTCACAGTGATCCTCCTGCCTCAGCCTCCCAGTGCTGGGATTACAGGCATGCGGCATCATGCCGGGCCACTGATTCTTTCGTTCTGAAAAATTTATGATAAACACCCACAGTGTCTAGGCCACTTTCTCATCACTGGGACAAAGTACCCAACACCCACAACATGAAGTGGGAATGATTTATTTTGGCTCACAGTACTGATATTTGGAGGGTGCCGTCTCTGGTAGGCCGGCTCCGAGACTGGGAGGCACGGTGGAGGGTGTGGAGGAGGAAAGCCGCTCATGTCACGGCGGGGTGGAGCAGAGAGAGAAAGGAGGGGCTAAGGAGGAAGGCACGGCCAGGCCCCACCTCCCAGCAGCACACTCGGGGCTGAACTGAATCCACTGAGGAGAACAGTGGCCCCGCGGCTCAGTCACCTTCCGGAAGCCCCACCTCTGAACACACGGAACTCTTGGGGGTCACCTAGATCTAACTCACAACACAGGCACACACACATTGTTTTTCCCCAGAGGTTAGTTATTAAGCACCAACCATCTGGGGAATATGTCCTTCAGGGGTTATCTCATGTGGTGGAAAACAATGGCCAACCCTCCATGCCAACCCTCACTGCCAGCCCTCCATGGACATGGAGCTCCAGAGAGAGAGCTAACATTCTGCCTTCTGTTGATTTCTGCCATTGAGATTTTTGGAGCTATTTGTTACCACAGCATAGTCTAGCTTAAACTGACTAATACACTTGGGTGAAGGGACTTAATTATCTGAGTTACAGGTTCCTTGCCATAATACCTGTGTCAGTCAGCTTTCTGTTGCCATGTCAGAATACCCATGATAACAATCGAAAAGGAGGAAAGGTTTATTTCGTCTCACAGTGTCAGAGGATTCAGCCCACGGTCACTTGTCTGTGTTGTTTCTGCCCTGTATTGAGACCGAGTGTCAGGGTAAGAGGCAAAGTGGAGCAGAGCCGCTTACTTCATGGCAGCTGGGAAGCAGAGAGAAAGAGGCAATGCCGGGGAAGAGGCTGAGGATGAGACACATCCTTCAGAGACAGCCTCTGGGCCGGGGATGTAGCTCAGGGGTTTCACTGCCTGCTGTGCAAGCACAAGGACCCGAGTTCGATCCCCAGTACCAAAAAAACAAAAACAAAAACAAAGACAGCCCCTGGCTGGTGATGAACTTTCTTCAAGTTCAAGCCCATTCAGCTATGGCCTCATCAGTGGACTCTTCCATTAATGCTGTTAGGAGCTTCATGATCCCATCACCTCTCCTCTCCATTCTACCCTGCTGCATTGGGGATCAAGTGTTCCAAACACGGGTCCTTGGGGAGCCCTTCCTGTTTAAATCACAACAGTACCTTTGATGAGAGTGAGGGGTGACCTGTACATTTCCTCTGGCACTCAGGAGGCCTTCGATAATGTTTTTACTGATAGCAGTGTCTTAGTACCCGATTTGTTTATTTGATGGCCGATGCTCTTGAGCCAATTTGCACAAGTCCTCTTCGTGGAGTCGGTTTGGAATTGGCTCAGTGCTGGGTGTTTGGTCCCAGGGAGACACATGAGGTGGGGAACCTCTCAGAGGTGGAGCTCAGTGGAAGGTAATTAGGTCACAGGACTCCACTCTCTAGAAGGGTTGGTGCTGTTAGGAGAAGTGGGTCAGGTCTTCGTGACTGGATTAGTTCTTTTTTTTTTTTTTTGGTACCGGGGATCGAACTCGGGACCTTGGGCTTGCAAGGCAGGCGCCGGAACCACTGAGCTAAATCCCCAGCCCCTGGATTAGTTCTTGAAAGGGGATCTGTTCTAACACCTTTGTTCCCTTCCTGCGTCTTGCCAAGTTGTCACAGAGCCAGGTGGCCTTCGCCAGGGCACCAAGCTGTGGTGTTTAGACCCTCCAGCCGCCAGAATTGTGAGCCAAAGAAACCTTCTTACTGTAGAAGTTACCCAGCCTCAGGCATTTTTAATAGCAACGCAGACTAAGACCACAGTGGGTGAGGGTACAGCTCCTTCCTCCTCTCTTCTCTGCGTCTTCCAGTGTCTGCCTCCCTCCTCTCTACCTTTTGCTGTATCTTCTGTGCTGTGTCTGGCTCCACATCACAATTTTGGGGGCTGAAATCAAGGCCATCAGTCCAGCTCGGAAGGGCGGCCTGGAATGTCGACTGCACAGTTATTGTCGCTGCAGCAGCTCTGCCCTCGGTCTCATGAAGGAGTCAAATACAGCCCTGGGAAGGGTGGCAGAGGAGGGTCCTAAAGGCTAATGTCCCGAGGCATAGCCTGAGGGGCAGCGGCAGGCAGAGATGCCAACTTCAACGCCAAATAAAAGTGGACAGATTTCTGCAAAGCCTGGCTTTGCCTTGCAGCAGCTCTCAGCAGCTTAGATGGCAGCAGAGGCCAGAGAGTGACAGAGCGGCCATCGCTTGGACCGTGACCTTGGAGGGGCAGCTGGAGGCAGGATGGAGGTGCCCGTTCTTGTCACTGCAGCTGGCACAAAGGGACTAACATGTGTGCCCCAGGGGACTGCCGTGGGGATCAGGGATGCTGAACAACTCACCAGAAGGAGATTGTTAAATAAATTACGATCCATCCATAACTTTTAAAATTAAGAGACAGATTTACACATGTTGCTATGGCAGTCTCCAAGAGATACGAGGCGAGGAAGTGCACCAGTGAGTGCCGGTATGTCCTTGCTGAGGAGGGACGTCTGGCTGCTGCTGGCACACATGCCCCTCCGCTGAGGACAGGACCTCGCCCAGCTAACCCACTGTAAACTGAAAATAATTAAGGAAGTGTGCAGGGGAGAGAGAAACTCTTGGGACCTTGTCTTGGTGTGTGGTTAGCTGTCCGCAGGGTGGGAGAGCTTTCACAAGGTCTTGTCAATGCACCGGATACAGGGGCATCTTCCAGGCGTGGCTGGGCCTCTTCCCGTGAAACCTGAGCAGGGCCGCCCACTCCAGGGCCTACTGTGACTTGCATGGAAGTGTCCGTGCCCTGTAGGCGTTGCAGAGTCAGCTGTGTCTGGGAAAGAGCGAGGAAGCCGAGCCCCGCGGGGTGCAGACCTGGCTAGGGCTTCCACCCCACACAGTTCCCTCTTTCCCTGGACAGTCCGAGTGGGCCGTGGTGTTGGGTCCAGCCTGCAGGTGTGCTGGGCCCTGCTGGGCTTGGGAGGGGTGGAGTGGACTCTCGGCCTCTGGAGTGGATCCCTGGGGTGGCTACAGGCTATTGTTCCTGAAGGGTCTAAGTATGGAGGGTGCCCTCCCCAGGTGGCACTGCTGGGAGGTGGTGGGACACTTCGGGTGGGGCCAGGCAGGGTGTCTTGAGGTCATTCGGGGTGTTGTAGCTGTTTTCTGTTGCTCATAACCGAATGCCACAGATGTGGTATGTTTTAAAGAAAAGCTTATTTTGCTCCCAGTTCTGGAGGCTCAGAGGCTGTGCATGGTGCTGGCCTTCTAGCTGGCACAGTCCCTGGGTAGTTCAGGGCGTCAAATGAGAGACACGCGGCGAGTGTGTGTGTGTGTGTGTGTGTGTGTGTGTGTCTGTGTGTGTAAGTCTCCTCTGGTCTTTCCTTCTCAGAGCCGCCAGGGTTCAGTCACAGGGCTGTACCCAGATGGGTGTCTGATCCCAGTCACCTTCGAAGGCCTCACCTCTAAACACCCCAGGGGGCTAAGTGTCCACCTTTTAGTGCCTCCTAGTGGGGACTACACATTGACACCTGGACCCCTGGGGGACACCCTGAGATCACAGCCAAACCACAGCTGGAGGGAAGGAAGGTCTGGGCAGTTGGGAGGCTGCGGGCAGAACAGACCCAGGAAGCAGAACTGGTTGGGGCCGCGGGCAGGATGAATCTCGGCCCATCTGCCCCAACTTTAGAGACCCCATTTCCACGTGGGAAATGGGGTTTGTGATCCATTTCAGGTGGGAACACAAGGATTCAAAGCTCAGCAAAGGTGGGTGATATTGGTGTGTGGATTCCAGTCCTCCTACCCCAACACAGGATTAGTATACAATCAGTGGTCAGCTGATGGTTATTGGAGGAAGGAATAAGGAAACTGGTCTGAGATTCCCGAGGTGGTCAGAGAATGCGCTGGTTTGAGTATGAGTATTGTCCCTCGGGGTCCACTTGCTAAAAGCCTGGTCCTTAAGGCGGTGCTGTCACCAGGTGGGGGCTAGTTGGGGTCTGTAGGTCACTGCAGGGCTCCCCTCAAAGGGCAGAGCGGGACCCCAGTCTCCTCTCATGGCTTATGGGTGGGGTGCTTTGCCCTGCCACACCCCCACCAGCGTGCTGCCTCACCACAGGCCCAAACAAAGGGTCAAGCCCACACGTACCGCAGCCTCTGAAGTTGTGAGCTAAATAACCCCTTTTCTTCTGGGTTAACTGCCCCAGGTGTTTGGTTACAGTGATGAAAAGCTAACACAGAGAAGGACCGTCAAACTCAACCAGTGTGGTCTCTCCACTCCCCAGTCCATTGTGCTGAAAACGACACGGACTGGGAGGACAGTAGGTGCAGAAAGCACCACACAAGACAGAGGGACAACGTGCCAGGGGCGCAGCAAGGGAGGCGACCCTGCATGGACACTGAGAGAAGCTGAGTCAGCACGCAGCGAGGCCTGCGGTACAGGGTTCAGGGTGAGAGCTCGGTGTGCATGTGGCACATCCGGGAGGGGTGACGGTGTCAGAGCATGGGGTGCAGAGTGAGGAGCTGGGGCTGGGGGGGAGGTCACTGATGCGTAGCCTAAAATCTCAGGCTAAACAGTTGGGTTTTCCTGACTTGACAGGATCTTGAAAGCAGGAGAGACCATGAACCATGACCGTACAGCTCTGTGTTGGGGACATGTATCAGAGGAACAGAGCCAATCGGAGCTACCTACTCAT